GCTTGTGTGGGGGGGGGGGGGTTGCCCACAGCTTGCTCTTCCCCCTGTAGCAGGCAGAACCCCTGCCAGCATTTCTGCAAGCTTGGGCTCTGTGCTCCTGCCACTCCTGGTCCTGGGGCATTGGTGTGGGCCCTGTGCTCCCACTCACTGCTACTTGCCACTCCTGCCCTTCTGCTGCTGCTTCCCCCCACTCCTCTCTGCCCCAGCTGCTCCAGCACCATGTCCCCGTTGCTCCTGTGGTCCCTGCGCTGCAGCCGGGAACCACATGATGTGGGTGGGTGGTGGTGGTGGTGGGGAAGCGGAAAAATGGCTGCAGTAGGCAGGGGGAAGAGGCAGTGTGCGGGTGTGTGGAGTGCAGTGACAGCTGGGCAGGAGCATAGGATCTGTGCTGCTGCACTGGGGCCAGGGCCAGCACCAGTGGGGCCCAGAGCGGGGCAGCAGGAGCACGGGGGCTGTGCTGTGCTGCTCAGGTATGGAGAGGAGGGAGCCAGCCTGCCTCCATAGAGCCCTTGCCAGCCTGGACCCCGTGCTCCTGCTGCTCCACTCTGGGCCCTGTTGGCACTGGCTTTGCATTGGCATGGGCCGTGCACTCCCGCCTTGCTGTCGCTGCACTCTGTGCACCCGCTTGCTGCCCCCCCCCCCCCTTTTCTGCAGCCAATTCCCTGATTTCCCCCCGCCTGTCAGCTGGCACCACACGGTTTCCAGCTGCAGTGCTGGGACTGCAGGAGCCAGCTCAGCTGGCCCCGAGGACTGGGGCGATCGCCCACAGTCCTCGTCTGCCTCCCTCCCCGCTCGTCCTTTATCTGTATTTCCCTTGGTGCAGGGAGGCAGGACCAGTCCTGGGCCAGAAGCCCCTGATAGGCAGAGGCTTCTGGCTAGGGCTCGGGGTGGGGCGGAGCTGGGCTGGACTTGGTACCGTGGCTGTTTCATTCTGCTGCCGGCTCCCCCTGGGTCCTACTGCCTCTGCCTCCTGTCATGTTTGACAGGCAGCCAGGGGCAGATAAATATTAATTTTCTAAATTTTTTAGGGGCCCTGCAGCCTGGGCAGAATGGCCTGGTGGGCCAAATCCAGCCCGCAGGCTGTATTTTGCCTGCCCGTTATAGAAGGATTTATAGTTCTATTTCTAGTCTATGCTGTATTCTTTTTGAAGGTACACTTTGTTCAAGAGCCAAAAAGTAATTGCGAATACTAAAATGAATGACTAGTTACTAGTACTACCCAAGAGAAATGAAGAATAGTACTAAGAATAGTCTTATTTTTACATATCTGAGCAGTGTTCTTCTTTTCCTTCTTTTTTTGTGTCCTTGTGGAAAGGTATTTAGTAGAATTCGCAGATTTGTTGGAATCTGACAGCTGCACTGTGACCATTTCTGCTATGACCTGGCCTTTGCCACCCTAGCCTCCTCTTTGCAGTGTTGATGAGATTTATCATGGCTAATTCTGTGTACTTTCTGTGCAAATTATAAGATCAGGATAAATCTACTGAAGGCATTTGACTAACACTGATAATAGCAATTGTGGCCTACAGATGGAAACCTCCTAAATATCCCCCAACCCCAATTAGTCTTACCTAGCCCACCCCCACCAGACAAATACTCATCCATTTGTGGCAGGGTTTTTGATTTTTTTTTAACTTGCTACAAATGGAAATCGTATTGTAATGTATTTGTGGGGAAGGAAAAAAGCAGAAGCATATTTTAGTCCTACAGGAACACTGACATTGGAGAGCAGAGGTTTTCTGGGGGCAGTTTGGATGGTAGCAATTCATACTTGCTCAACCAAAATGTGTGTTCATACATAGAAGATGCTTGTATTTGTGAGATGCTGATTATGTATACCTATTTTATGCTGTATTTCCTGGGTGTTATGATTTTTTTTAGTGTTGGTACTGTACCTTAGCAAACTTGATATTGTTTTGTCACAAAATATGCTTAAGGGATAGCCTCGGTTGTATTTTTATGGCTCTGGTAAAAAGAACACAAACGTATGTTCCTAACTGAGAGTGGTATTTGGTTGTTTGTTATGATGCCACTTCCAGTCCCTGGGAATGGAATTTTTTATGATGCTCCTTTGTTCTGGGTTTCTGTTTTACTAGATTAAAAAGCTCAAATTTACCTGCAGGAAATGTGGAGAATGCTGCTTCTAGAAAAATGCCAAATCAGCATCACCTGTGTAAAGGGGAAGGAATGGGCCTTAGTAAGATGCACTTTATTTTGCGGCTGTTCATGCGTAATCTGTTTCTCTCTTCTTTGTTTCTAGTCATGTCTCAGGCTGTGCAGACAAATGGGACTCAACCTTTAAGCAAAACGTGGGAACTCAGTTTGTACGAATTGCAGAGGACACCCCAGGTAATACAAGACAGAAAGTTAACTTCATGGAAGTATCTTCCATACAAATATGTTATAATACCTTTCTGTATAAATTGCAAGAGTTCTAGTTCAAGTATGAGGTTAGAATTTTTTGTACGACTGTAGTTAAAGTGCATCATTTCCTATTTGAAAAGGTAGAACATTAAAAAATACAGGCAATCACAAATTGTTTCATTACTAGAAATATGTATCCATGCGGCTTCTTTTGCTTTAAAGGTATCTCCTATTCTCTGAGTAGGGACCTACCCAAATCGAGAAGGCAAGCAGCCAATTTCATGGGCGTATCATGGGGTCAGCTGCCATTTTCACAGATGTATTGCAGCGGGGGCCCCCTGCCTCTTGCCCAGGGGTCCCACTGACCCTGCCCCTCATTGTTGATTGGTGGAGAGGGGCAGGGCCACACAACAGGCAGCCCTGTCAGCAAATCAGCAGAGAGGGGTGGGGGTGGCAGCCATTTTGGCTGCTCCCCTTCATACAGGCCATCCTCCTCTCCCTTTCTCCCTGATGGGCTGTACAGCCAGGCCACAGTAGCCACAAGGACTGCTGGCTCCCACTGGGCAGCCATTTTATTTTTAGTATGTTATTTTTTCTTTGTTTTGTTTTGTTTTTTAAATCCCTGCGGATTTTATGGACGATGCCCAATTTCGTGATTCCTGCGAAATTGTGAATTGAGTAGGTCCCTATCTAAGAGTCTCTCTCTAAAAATAACCACGTAGTATTTTTGAGGAATATATCTGAAATATCATTTCAATTTTAGGAAGCAATAACTGATGGGCTGGAAATAGTGGTGTCACCTAGGAGCCTGCACAGTGAACTAATGTGTCCCATTTGCTTGGATATGCTGAAAAACACCATGACAACAAAAGAATGCCTGCATCGTTTCTGTGCTGACTGTATCATTACAGCCCTCAGGAGCGGGTATGTAAGAAACAATACACGTGCAAAACTCCTTTCCTTATTCCAGAGCAGCGAGGAGGATGATTTAGAATCAAAATGAGCCAATGAGGCTGCTGGAATGTGTTGAGAGGTACCACTAGCATATTTCAAGAAACCGAGGTATGCTACATACAGTTCCATGTGCATGATATGCTTCCAATATTATTTTGTAATTTAAGCATTTGTTCTGCCATAGTAGTCCAGATGTTGTGGAGGCAATATACAGATTCCTTCATTGCCTCATGCAAGGTAACAGTAAGGTCTTGGGTAAGAAATAGAAAAAAGCCTAAGTAGGATCAGAAAAACAACTGCATTACATCACTTACAAAAATGAACTGAGCTCTGAGAGTGGAACCTTTTCCAATCTATAACTAGTAGTATAAGCAACCACAAAAGTGTCTTTTTATGTCTAGGCTGTTTAATAACTTGTTGGGGGTGGGGTTAAATGTATCTTGTAATTGCTGATTTTTAGTATTGTCGATATTAATGATAAGTGCCATGACCTGCCCTGACTGGTTGCATTTGATGTCTGTACTATTTTTGTGCCTTGATTCAGAATTCCATGATTAAGCTTAAGAAAACTGCCTACATTTCCTCTACATACCAATGTAATGGACTGTTCTGGAAGAAATGTAACATTCCTGTCCTGGATAAGAAGAGCTACAGACACACAAATAGATTTTTATATGGTCTGCAAATAAATTCCAATGTATCCTGAAAGGGAAGTGAGAAAATAATCAAGGGATAAAGATGTTCATTCATTATTAAATGAAGTGGAACATGCAATGGGAAGCGCTAGAGCGGTCTCCATCATATAACTTGATTTTAGTTAATAGTCAGAATAATATGTAAGCCAGTCAATTAATGGTAAAACTGTTGGTGACAGAAATGGAGTCTCTGTGACGGAGGCCTTTCTTCCACTGGGAGTGAAAAAAGCACACTGTTAACTTTAGTTAGCTAAAGTGAGGTAAAACTACAGTAAAGATCAAAATAGGTTACAATTTTCATGTGGAAAATGGCATTCGCATCTTCCCCAAGATGCTTTCTCCTATTAAGAACATACTTTTTCCTTGTGAAAACAGCCTGAGAGGCTATAGGACAGGGGTCCCCAGCCTGTGGAGACCCTTAGACACCACTCATGGCCATAAGGACATGTTGCTTTCCACAGATTAACAGGTTTGTAGTAAGTAGGACCATGGAACTCTTAAATATGTATATAAGATAATTTAAATAAACCGTAACTATTTCTAGGACAATCATTTTAAAGACTTTTGAGAAAGAAGAAGAAAACTAATTTGCTTTTTCCCAGGCGGAGCAAATGTAAAACCTACCTGGGCCTATCAAAGGCACAGGCAGAAGGGTCTATTCTGTAAGATGTTAATGAGATGCTGGCTGTGGACAGTAAGTTGTAAGGAAAGTGGTATGACTAAAAATGTGGCACTACAATCAGAACCCTTGGTTACAGGCATGGGTAATGATTATCACTGTTTCCTTTTCTTCTCTTTTTGTTTAGAAACAAAGAGTGTCCTACTTGTCGTAAAAAGCTTGTTTCTAAAAGATCTCTGAGACCAGACCCAAATTTTGATGCACTCATCAGTAAAATTTACCCAAGTCGGGATGAATATGAGGCCCATCAAGAAAGAGTGTTAGCAAGAATCAGCAAACACAATAACCAGCAAGCTCTGAGCCACAGCATTGAGGAAGGTCTAAAGATTCAGGCCATGAACAGGTATGGAGTCATCCTGAGTCCAGTTATTCTTCACATAATGGGAACTTAAGATTCAAAGTAAATTTACATCACAAAAACTTGACAACTTTCAAGGCTGCAAAAAGTTAAACTTCCAAACTTTGACCAGCAAAATTCCTGTGTTGATTTTTCCACGCCTTCCATGATGACAGAATGACAGGACATGTAAACCAGTGCTTGTGTGTGAAGCATGGACATCAAAACAGTATCACAATAAACGTCTAGGATTAATATTACTAAAAGAACAGACATCACAATATATTTTTGATCCCATATAGTATAATACAGTAAACCTGAGGCAAAGATTCACCTTAACATGTTGTGTTTTAAGACTGCCCCAACGTATATCCTGATGTTAGAATACAGTGTTCTTCTTTGAAGACTTGTTTATTAAGTACCCAAGTTTATTGGTCCTTTGCTCCCTTAAAATATGATTACATTCTAACTTTTTCATGTTTATCTAAACCTGACAGCAAAATTCCACTTGACCAGTAGAAAGGGTTGTTTTCTGTTGGGTAAACAGACTGTTGTTAGGAGTTTTTCATAGTCTTAGCATCATGGGAGAAAGTGTACAAATAGGTCTTATGCTTGGGCTTGAACTCTTTAATGACAGCTTTCTCTGAGTCTTGCAAATTGTACATAGTATAATGTAGCATTGGATTAATAGGTATGCACCTAAAACTAAATAAGAAATATTTTATGTAAGTTACATAATGGCATGGGCTTACTCCTTTCCCTTGTAGAACAAAGATGATTCTTTCATAGGTCTTGAAACAACTAAGATGATGGTTTTCATGGGGTTAACATTTAGGTAAAGTATTAAGTACAGAATGACATAAATTGTATTGCATTCATAGTTTATATACTGTATTATAAAATATGCTAATATTAAATGCTTAGCACTTTGAAACAGTACAGAGCCTTGAGTTAGCTGAATTTTCATATCTGTCTCAAATGTGGTTGTAGAGATGCATTAATCTGAGATCTAATATAAACCCAGTAGTTCTTTAAAACAACATAACTCTGCCTAAATGTATGTGGCTGGGTGAGGGAAGGACTTTCACAGAAGAATCTGAAGCCTTGGATAAAAAAGAAGAGCTGTGTTTACAAGAAACTGAGGCTACAATGAATATCTGGAAAACATAAGGTGCTAATACCTAGGGTTTCAGAACTCATGTTTTTAAAATAAACCTGTTCATGTCTCTAATGGGTACAAAAGAAAGCAAATCTCTTCAAAAGTTCACTGTGGATCATATTAGAGTACTTAATAACTTATGAAAGAGAATTAATGTTAATGGAAAATTGTATCAGAAAAATACTGCTGAAGATGTAATGTTATCACTAGAAAATTTTGGTGCCTTTTGACTATAATTGCTGTAGCATATGATTGAAAAAACTGTACTTAGAAATACCATAATGAGCTAGCAGATCAAAATTTAACAAGCCCTTTGAATTCTGAATACTGATTGGCTGATGAAGTCATATTTGTTTAAATATGTATCTTTAGGCTACAGAGAGGCAAGAAACAACAAATTGAGAATGGCAGTGGAGCAGAAGATAATGGTGACAGTTCGCACTGCAGCAATGCCTCAACACACAGCAATCAGGAAGCAGGGCCTAGTAACAAAAGGACCAAAACATCTGATGATTCTGGCCTAGAATTGGACAATAACAATACAACTGTGGCAATAGATCCAGTAATGGATGGTGCTAGTGAAATCGAGCTAGTCTTCAGGCCTCACCCTACACTCATGGAGAATGATGACAGTGCACAGACTAGGTGAGTGCCTTCAACGTGTCAGTTATGTCTTGGAGCTGCTCTTCAAGGAGCCGAAATTGCAGACTCTCTTTACAGGTGTCACAGGCTAACGTAGACAAACTTAAATCATTTTATTGCCTGTTCTTTTTGCTGCAGAACCGACTCAAATGTGCTGTGCATCTCTTATTGCTACCGTTGCAGGTATATAAAGACCTCAGGTAATGCTACTGTTGATCACTTGTCCAAGTATTTAGCTGTCAGATTGGCTTTAGAAGAACTTCGCAGCAAAGGAGAGACAAATCAGATGAATCTTGACACTGCCAGCGAGAAGCAGTACACCATATACATTGCTACAGCCAATGGCCAATTCACGGTTAGTAGATCTTCTGCCTAATTCAGAAAAAGCTGTAGTATTTTTGGGTCTAAGTCTGAGGCACAATAGATTGGTTTGATTTCAAATCCTATAGTGATTGGTTGAGGTTCTTTCTGTATTTGACACATCAGTTGCATATAAATCCTGTTTTTAAAGAATGGGACACCCTGTGATGGGTCTTTGCTAGCAGTTCTAGTGGACTGCTCTATATTTGTGTGTGAGAGAAAAATTACATATAGTAATATAACACTTATATAATCTTTATCAAAAAAAAAATCAAACATAACTACAGGTTGTCCTAGAAAGGAAGCAGAGACATCCACAAGGTATATGTATAACTGTCCCTTGCCCAGGTTTATGTTTGGATTGATGAACCACATTTCACACATATATATATATATATCTTTTTACAATCAGCAGAATCTCTGAACCTTTCTTCATTGGCATTGGTAAGACTGGCAGGAATGTAAAGTAGGTAGTCCTTAATTCAGGACTGTTCTGACCTATTTCAGATGCCAATGCTTTTTTTACTTTCTTTGAACTCACTGTGCCTGAAGTACTGCATTTGTATAAACTTGCTTTACGTCAACATAGGGCTGTTCTTCACTCGTTTGATGCTTTCTCCTCCTCTAGGTATTAAATGGCTCCTTTTCCTTGGAGCTTGTCAGTGAGAAGTACTGGAAGGTGAACAAACCCATGGAACTCTACTACGCACCAACAAAGGAACATAAATAAGCTTTGCAAAAAATCTTTGAGCTGGGACTCTGTTTTTATAGCTATGGTTTCTTAATATTAAGGAGGCACCACCGTTATTTTATGGACAATAAGTGGGATGTCTTCAGACTCCTTTATGAACATACTGTACTTTATTAATATGATTAGACAGTGTTCTGGGTTTTATTTTTTAATTTAATTTTTTTCCAGGAGATTGAATGACCGACCTTTTGTGATTCATTCCATTGTTAATGATGTGCTTGCTTGTTTGTTTGTTCCCAATGCATGATATTGAAGCAGAAGTTCCTTTTGGAATCTCTTAATCTAGTCCAGGAAAGTTGGTAGGTCTGTTAATATCCTTGACACAGAGCAGCCCCTTCAAAGTACTGAATGTTGGGAGGGGGTGGTCAAAAGGAATCTGAAGTAGTAGTAAGTAGTGGGGAGTATGCTTTGAATGTAGTGGTTTACTAATCACTATCACTATAAAAGATGTTGGAGAAATGATGATGATGATGATGATGAATTGATGATAATGATATTTCTAAGTAACAGTATGCCACTTTTGGCTCTAAAGTATTTACTATCGTAATCATACCATGGCAGCTGGGCATGTTTGGTAATTTATTAACATTCTTGTGAACCAATATGAGGACTTAGGGGAAGAAGTTCTGACACTTTAAGAAAAAAAATCTTGTTGCTTAGTGGGATTTATACACTAGCATTTTTCTTTTCTTTTCTCTCTCTCCCTTTTTTTTTTTTAGAGCAAAAAGTGTTTTCCTGGACAGAACATCCCAATCTTTGTATACATTCTCATTTCCAATCTGGTTTCTATGGCAGAATTCTACTGTGCATATGAGCTTAACTGTGTAATTGACAATTACTGAATTCTGGTATATCTAATATAATGACAGATTTTACTGGGAAGAGACTTTCCTGTAAAGTATTCTCTTTTGGAAATCTCGTAATTTGCAGCAAATCCTCTGTATAATTTCCGGCATACTGGTGGTGTAATGCACCAGTGGAATGACTCTTTTATAGAGCCTCCTCTCCACCAGTCATGATCAATAGCTGTGCTTCAGCTTTGATAGAGAACTGCTTAAAACATAAGCTGCTCTGAGTATTCTTTTTTTATTTAGTCTCACAGCATTAACAAATGTGGCTTAGCACTTTTGGAAGAAAATGTTAGTACTTGACAAGTTTACCACTTAGTGTCTTAACTTAGATTACATTTTTAAAACTTGACAGTAAGCCAGGGTGTAAGATTTTTGCAGCTACTGTTTATCTGCATGTTAGGCCTCTGACAGACATTGATTTAAAAGTGCGATAGGATATGATCCCAACAATGCAGGCATGGTTAGGATATGTGGTTTGTTGTTTTTTTTTAATTTTAATTTAATTTTTTTAAGGGATCAGATCTCAGTCGTGCCCTACTTATAAGTGGAGGGGGAACCTGGGATCATGAGCCAAGGTTTGCTGTGGACTGCCAAGTTGAAAGCCAGGTGCCTGACAATCTCCTGATTGTCAGCTTGATTGGGACTGCACTGAGGCTTGACCTGGCCCTGGTGCTGTTCTAGCTAGCTAACAATCAGCTGATTATTAGCTGGCTGGGACCACACATGGGCCAGTTTGACCCCAAGGGAATCCTAACCCTGCCACACATTCAAGTGTGTTGAAAACCAGCCATAAAAAATATTACATTTTGTGTAATATTTTGTGGCTAGCTTCCTTTTTTGTGGTGCCATTAAGTGGCCAGATTACAATTTAAGAAGCAATTAACAGGTTAATTGCATCTTAAGTATAACATCTGCCAGGAGCTTTGAACAGTGTTGGTCTTTTCCTGGCATGAACCCTATTTACACCTACTGGAAATACTCTGCTAACATTAAGGTAAACTCAGTACTAGGGAGAAGTAGCAACAATAATATTCTTTTTGGCTCTAAGGCTTATCAATGAGGCCTTCTTGTCTTTGTGGGTTAGAATCTAGAAGGGAAAAGACTCTGCTCTAGTAGGTGAGGATTGCTCTACTTCAACCAAGAGGGTTTTGTTCCTTCTTTCATGCCCTACTTGCAGTCAAGATGAATGAGCTTCTAGTGTTTGGGACATTTAACTCTTTCACATCCTTACGTTTTTTTTTTGGGAAGGAACAAACCTTCCATTATTTTGTCAGTCAAGTCTAACATTTGTAAATATACACTCTGACTGTTTTCTGAGTCAATTTCATCTCTGTGTTAGAAATCCATAGGCTTATTGAATAACTTCGTTTCCTTTCGTATCTGAAATGTTTTTACAACTTTTGTAGTCTGTGCCATGGAACTGAAATTTTCAAACACCAAAACTGAGGGGGAAGGCTGGAGTTTTTATTTTAAAATACTCTCTTCATTACTTTTTGGTGTAATGTTCTGTTTTATAGATTGCTAGTGCATGTCCACTAAATATAATCCTGTTTTTTTGTGATATAAATGCTTAGATTTTATGGGGAAACTTCTAGGTTAGTTGCAGCAGAACAACAAATTCCTACTGTGATATCTAAGATAATGTTCAGCCCTTTAAACTAAAGATATGTTTGTGAAGCTAAGCCGTGTCTGTCTCTGAATGTGTCTGTCTCTGTCTGCAGTTTAAAAAAACCGTGCAAGAATGTGAAACCTTTTATTTTCTTGTCATAGTGAATTTACTAAATATTTATGTTCTTCAAATATATATAATGTAGGTGTTTTGATTAAACCATTGATTGCACTGTGACTTTTTTAGTGCTATAAATAATTTTAATTTTTCAGAACAACTTTCATATGCCTTCTGGTTTAAAAACTACATCCTTTTTTGTTACGCTATGCTTGTTAGGTATGGTAACTTGAACAGTTACAGCACCTGAAACTGAAGTCATACCTAATGTCTCACATTTTAATAATAAAGCAAAAATGCTGTGAACATAATACTTTAATCCAGCTTTCTACTTTCTACTCTGTAAAAGAAATGTCTTGTATTATATAAATTTACCTTTATAGTTTAACATTGTCTTAATACAGGGGTGTCAAAAAGATGGCCCACAGACCTGTACCACTGGGCCAGCAGTGCCACAATGCAGCACAAACTTGATCAGCTGCATGTACTGTGTGGAATGCATTTGGCATGGGCTGCATACAGCACAGGGTAGGTCTGGGGCATGTAGCACCTGCACTGGACCACCCCTGCATGCTGGATCCAGGCCCTGTCCAAATCAGGCCCATAGACCAGCCCTACATGCCAGATCCATTGCACAGGCCCAGCCTGGCATGGGCACCACCAGCAGTATGCACCCTAGGCCACTGCATGTTGACTATAGCGTGCAGCACCTAGCATATACCCCCGACTGGCCCCCTCTGCCACCTATAGGGCTGGGGTGTGCTGCAAGCAGCACGTGGGCATCATTTGGCCAGTCTGTGGGCCCAGTCCAGCCTGCAGACTGGCTCCATACCCCTCATTTGGCCCAGAAGGCCAAATGAGTTAGACACATCTGGTCAAGCTACTGCATCAGCAGCTTTCTAGAGGGAGAAAGCTGTCTCTAGTTCAGAGATGGGATTTTGATTTCTCATATAGCTACACCTTGATTAATCAATTGCTCTGATGCTTTAGGGTCAAGTTGTTTAATGGATCTGACAGATTCAGTGCTAACAGAGGGACTTGAGCTTAAGCCTGATGTGCTCATGGGCAGCCACTTCCTTCCTAGATGAAGCCTGTGTTATTTTTCACACATCTGAGACATAACTGTCAAGACTAAATCAGACTACTTCAGCCATGAAGCTTGAAATCATTAAGCTGAGTTTACTGGTGATAAGTTACAGTTTAATTGTTTAATAGTGTTTGACTTTGGAAGAATAAGAATGACTGAAAAGTTGTAAGTCCATATCCATCAGAGATGACTTAAGTAGGACATGCTTCCATTTTCTTATAACTGTTTAAAAGCAGGAAACTAGTTCTTTCCTATTTCATTCAACATGCTGCTTTTCTTTTTGGTTATCATAACTCTCCCTTTTTCATTTCCTATTTAAACCTTGCTGCTTTTGACTTTGATGTAAAGGTGGGGAGCTATCCAGTGAAAAGACAACTAGTTTTGTCAATAGAGGGCATCTCTCTTCATTAGTCTTTCCCAACCAGTCTCTCAACTCGCCTTTCCTTGTATTAGTAATCTGAGACAACTGATGGATAGTATAAGGGTAAATAGACCTCAAGGATACTTACAAGTACTCTTATGGAGGTAATGAACTAAAACTACATGAGAGATGTTGTCCAACTAGCCCATCCAGTTTTTTCCCTTTTCTACATGAAGAATCTTGCTTTGAATGTAGTTGGCATATGCACTGGAATAAGTAAGAGCAGAAACTTGGGACACTGCTTTGTTTAGGTCTCTATCACTTACACTGTATACGACAGTTCTGCTTTTGTTCTTCAAGATATTGAACGTCTGATGATAAACCAAGATAAGTTTGGTCACTGGTACTCCTAACAGCTCTAATCATCTAGGTGTATATTATCTTTCCTTACATTATGTTCTCTGTATTGTAGTTGTGCCTGTGAATCTTAAAGAAAAACAATTTTTAAACTGAAGGAATAGCAGAGCGAAGAGCTAGCCAATAGTTAATTTTAGAATTTGTTCTCACATTTGTTCCAATTTGTTAAACTAAGATCTCTCCACCATTTCCCTTTTTTTTGCTTCTCTAAGAAAAAACTGTTGCATGAGGGTAGGAGGCAGCAGAGGGAAGACATTAACATCAGAACAATATTAAACATACTAGCCAACTGCAGGCCAATAATGACGGGGAGGAGAGAGGGCTGGGATGGGGTGCCACCACCTAACACCCCATGCTACCGCTGTTCTGCCTCTTGAATGGAGGAGGAGGCGAGGCCAGCCACCCTCTGTCCAGTCCTCGGTGCAGCTTCAGAATAATGGTGGCGCTCCTCCATGCTTGGAGCACTCTGGCTGCTTCCGTCAGCCAATCAGAGTGCAAATAAAGCATGACAGACAGATAGACTCAGGCTTCTATAATATTAGAATTCTAGCTTCTGGACAGAGAAGATTTAATAATTTATTTTTTAGCTGAGAAAACTAAAGGCTACCCCATACTTTCTCAATGTGCTTGGTAGATCAAACTGTTCCTTGCAGCTCATTATGGCCTTATCCTTCCTTTCCATGTTGCACAAAGCTCCCTAAGTTGTTACAGCATAATGAAACAAAATGCATGAGAAACATCCAGAAGTCTGTATCGAATTTTATTGATTTTAATCAATTCACACAAACTGAGCTCTTTTAGGTTTTCCCATGCACGTTCAACTGCTGACTGTTGTCTGCTTGAGTGTGTGTGTGTGTGTGTGTATATATTTCAAATAAATGGAATCTAAATCTGGTTGTAATTACTTTTGAATATGCTGATTTAGTCTAGTCTAAAGTGCTAAAACACTGAGATATGGTATAATTTTATCTAAAGCCAGACACTTCTCTGAATTTCCATTTTCTTTTGAGAGACAAGTATTTTTTACACCTTTTATTGGACCAACTACGTAGAAAGAGCTGTTGGCCAAGCCCCCTTTCTCAGGTCCAGAACCTGGTTATACCAAATCCTATAACACTCCAACGCAACTACATTTTCTTTCATAATATGACATTGAGGCAAGGAGAATCAGCAATCAACTTTAAAATACAGGCGTAGCACAAAACTTGTTCTTCAGATACTTTGCACCTTGTTAGCTTCTTTTCTTAAACTTACTTCCAGCCTCCCTTATCAGAAGCTTAAGTTGTAAAACTATATCCAACAGAATGATTAGTTTGTGAGCTCATAGTAATGCAACTTAAGAATTGTGTTCCAAGTTGTGTTCTATAACTAGAACTTTTAATTATCTCAAGTATCCATTAAATAATTCCAATACCATCTGTTCAGTAATTCGAGACTAATGAAAATATGCTAGCATGTCATCTTCCTCAGTTGTCCAGAAGAGTCATCTCCATGAGGAAAAATGAGAAGGGATTACTTTTTCACAATCACTTCTGTTGCTCCTCTGGGGGCAAGGCAGAGCTAACTTTCTTGTCCTGACAGTAGCTTGTAAAAACTACTACTTCCATTGCAGCATTCAGCGGCTCCATAGGCTATATGTTGCCAACCTCTGTCCTATTCTGTTACTTCCTAATTGTCACAGAGTGCTGCAATGAAGCTGTGCAGTAAGCTGTGACATCACTTACCCTCACTTTAGCAGTGGGTTAGAATATTTTCTAGTTAAGGCAAGGGAGGACAGGAAAGAATAATTGATAAAGGTAGCTTTTCTTTTTGGCCTTGAGTACCTTCCTTTTATGGATTTTCAGGACAGAAGCCCTCAATTTCCCTCCTTTGGCTGCAAGCAGTCTCACTGAAGCAAGCCCAGAAATAGATGAACCCAAAGCTAGGGTGAGTGGGGAGCAAGGGAGAACCTAGGATTAAGCCTTAAAGGCTGCTTCTGGATGTAATTAAGATTTCCAATTCCAGGTATACAGAATTTACCTTTTGGTCTACACTTTAATGAATAGGAAAACTGAACTTTTATAGTGCTAATAACCATTCTAGGCAACCTGTCTGAACTTAGAATGCTGAAGAAAAAAATTCCTTGCTGTTACTGACATCCTCAATTAAACAGTTTGATGCTGATTGCTGTAAGGGAACGACAAGGTAGCAGGCACTTCTACTATAATTGGAATTGATTTTTTCCTAAGGCTTAGTATGAACACATGGGTGTGGATGTTCCAATAGACAACTGAGTTCAAACTCACCAACCTGAAAAACTTGATTCCCCCCCCCCCCCAATTCTGACTTGAGAATCTCTGTACCATTTGTGGAATTTTCTTAGTTTGTGTTTTCTTTAGCACATGGGAATCACACTTGCCCTGGGCAGGATCTGTACTGTCGAGCTCCTCAGACCAGTTCCAGATGTGGAAGTAGTGGGACCAGCGATGGAGACAGTGGCACAAGCAGAGCTGTGGCAGCCTAGCCCTTGCTCATCCCCTGCCACTAGCAACCATGCCCAACAGGGGCCCATAATCCAGAATTCTAGAGCAGCTCCCACCCCTAAATTCCCTGGTCTGCCAGGAATACCCTGGGCTGGAGGGAATGGCTGTGTGTGCTTGATGTCCCTGCTTTAGCAAAGTACATGGATGCTAAATGGTACATCAAGAATATGCACTATTTCCACCCCTCCCCCCATACTTATTACTTATTCATGAATTATTTCTGCTCCCTCACTCATTAGATACAGTGGTGTATGGAACTGAAGGAAGTGCCTTTGTGACAGGACTAGAGAGAATCTGCAAAACTCACCACTAAAACTGAAACATTTACCCTCACTGGGGGAAGATCCTGTTTGAAAAGCAGAATGAAGTACATCCCAGAACCAGTAGAGAAACTAGCACAGAAGCCTTAAGGGTTGTAAGAAGAAGAAAAAAAAATCAAGCTCAAGATTTGTTTGTTGGACTGGAGTAATGCTATATATTTAAGGAAACCAGAAACAACTATTTACCAAACACAATGTCTTTTCAGTATATTCAGCAAAAGATACTTCTAGCAGTGAAGAGAAAAAACTGTAAGTTCGTGTCTTGTAAAACGAAATTCACAAGCAAGCTAATTTAGAGAATGTGATAAATGAACTGACCTATACAGAGGTACTAACTTAATTAAACTGTACCACTTTGAATATAGGATTCCCATATGTTAAATCCTACTGAATTGACCATTGCTCAGTGCCTTGTTTCCAGTGATTGTCCAGATTCTCTGAACAGAAAAACAGCTGCCTAAAATGACAAATCTGTCCACTGAAAACTTGCTTTATAGCTAAATATAAAAATTTCAAACAGTAAAAAAGGTTGTAGCTTCATTTCCCCTTTCCATTTGTGTTTACTCTTTGCTTCTAGTCAAAAAGAGTAACAGATGGCTCTGAGTGCCAAATTAAGCTTGCTATCTAGCAGTAAAATTAGTCTACCAACACTTTCTGACTCATTAAAATTAGTGCTGCATTTTATTCTGCAACATTCTGGTGCCTTCGTAAGACACAGCCTCTTGTAAAACTAACCGGTTAAGCTGCAGGAATGACTGTCCCTTTCATACTTAAATTATTCTAGCAACACTCACAAAATTGCTTAAGACTTTTGGCCCCTTCTCTTCTGAACACTGTACTAGGAGTTTGAATAAGGCTTTAAAAAGATTTGAGGTTAGTCATGAAGTGCCACAGTTTGAAAACAGAAAGTGGAATATAAAAAGGCAAATAGCCCTCCAATCTCATTCCTGACTAACTGTAAATTGACCACACTTACTGTGATCAATCACCAATTGTTGCTACTTAATTTGAAAATGTGTTCACGCGCTAAAGTACCTGGCAAACAAAACCTTCCAGTCCTGTTTGGTAAAAGACCACTGCCTTGTTGCAAAACTCTAAAATTTTGAATTCAAAACATACAGTTAATTGCTTTCAGCAGCAGTAATAACATTGGAATTGTTATCTTTTGTCAACAAGGTGCTAGCTCCTGATTTATCATCTGTGACTTCGGTATTTCCTGATTTGTCATCTACTGAAGCTTGGACATAGTCCCCAGCCTGGGCACCTTCAGTTGACTGGACAGGGCCTTCTGCCTGTCCTCCAGTGTAAGTGGGAGTGCTGTATTTTACAAGGATAGACTTAAACTGCGCCAAGGGTGCATTTGTACGAACTCCCATAGGATCAAAATGGGTTCGACTTACTCGATATCCAGCTTGGGACAGATACTGCAAGAATTTATTTAACCTGAAAAATGAATTGGTTATTATAGGTTAGTCTCTTTCAAGTTAAGGTGTGGACAGAAGTAGCTTTTGAAATGCTTCAAAAAGGTCTTCTTTCAGCCCTGGGAAATGTATAGCCTCTGCCCCCACCCCCAGTGGCACGCTTCAAAGTTACAAATGCAGACATGGCTTTCCACCCAGGGGACGCTGCAAAGGACTACAGAGACTTGTGGCTTTGCTTCCAACTCCCCACACTGGGGCTGTACCTCTCCTGCACCTCCTGGCACAAATCCCTGAACCTCATTTTAAGAGATATTACTTTGGAATGTCTGGACCACTTTTGAAATATTTCCAGGGCCATGTACAACTGGCCCTTTCAAGTGTTTCAAAGAAATTTGAAATATTTCAGTTATCATTTCTGTCTGCACCCTTTATTACATATATTTTGATAGAAATTCAAATTGGAATTTGACTGTTCCTTACTTTGGCATATTCATTCCTTTGATACTGTGCCTATGGATGTTATAATAAAAGGCAGGGTGTTCAGCATTGCTCTCAGCCTTTTGTCGTTTTGTTGTGTTTCGAATCATTTCATTACTTTTCCTTTTACCTGAAAAAAGGAAAATGCCAGTGAGGGTAATGCACCCAGCGATGCAATGAGTGGCTTGAAAGCTCAAGACTCTAAAAACTAAAGTACAACATTTATGGGAGAAGAAAAAAAACCTCTATATGTTTTCCTTAGAAATGGTAAGCACATGAAGCCTTGTCTCATTTAAAGCTTTCTGTTGCAAGGTTTTCTGTAACTAACATCTCCATAGGAGGGAAGTGCTGCAGAGATATGTTAGACTTCCTTTGTAAAGCCAGTATTAGTTCTTTGCCGTTTCCCAGGAAACATTCTGGATAAAGCTAAAATATTTGTAAAAAGAATTCATTAATCTTCACTGCAGATGACTCATGCATTCATTAAAAAAAAAAAAAAGCTGGGGAAATCTCAAGCTGCTGTCAGAATGGCTTGCATAACTATAATATCACTACATCTTCCACCTTATCAGTGGTTTATCATCTAACAAGCACAAAAGGTCTGCATGCAGTCATAACACATACATTCAAATGAACTACATACCATGTACCACAAAGTAGTCAGTTGAAGTATCTGGTGTTTTAATAAATACACCACACTCTTCTAGAATACAATAAAGTCAGAATTAAAGCTGAACTATGACAACACAAAACAAAAACTTTAAAAGTTGTTTTTATCTATAAAGCATCGAAAAGAGCAACCTAAGCTCTTCAGCCTTGGGCAAAGCTGTAAGAGTGATATAATCAAGAGGAGAGGTAATGGGTTATTGAAGCTTTCACTACCAGCTTGTCGAATATGAACTGGCATTAGTCAAGCTTGTAGCATCTTTTCTGTTCTTATTAGAAAAGTATACTACAGATTGCAGTCTTGTCAGAGAATCCCAGGACTAGGGAAGCATGAAGAGCAGACTTCCTTCTCAAAAAAGAAAAAAAGGAGGAATCATCCAGGTAAGGCTTTGGTACACTTAAGAGCAAATGTATTTGTTCAGTTTAAACATCTAAAAAAACTGTCAAATGTGGCATCAGATGCCAGCACTATATTTATTCAACGTAGGATTTTTCCCCGCTGGTCAAGACATCTGTCAAAGTTTACCACCCTTCCTCCAGCATTCCCTAATATCAGATAGTTAGAGGAAGTAAAAGTCTCATAACATGGCACAGTTACTGTCCAATGCTGTCTATGGCACCAGGAACATCCTCATGACCTTTTCTAGTGCACAGTATTAGTTCTTAGTGCTAATAAAAACAAGTGAGTGGCTTTGTCTAAAAAGCCTACCACTGCAACAGTTCTTTGTAAGCAACTTGTCATCTTATCTTACCTTGCTTGTTCTGGCTTGTAGGACCATGGATTGAAAACTGTTTTAGAGTTGTACATTCTGCTTCACAGATTAATGTTTTTAGAAGTGGCTGAATCTCATCTAAGCCGTGCTGAACAGCTTCAAACAGCATTCTTCTGAGGAATCCAGTATTAAAGAGGGACCCTGACCTGGACAGTGCAACAAAACTACAGTGAAAGCTAAGAGGAACAGAATATTTTGCAGCATTTTCATTTAAACCAAGATGCTTCTGTACCTTTAGCAGTGATTCCCACAAATTAATCTCCAGGTGAACTATACTTGTATTCAACACTGTACCCTATTTTGTTTTGGAGAATGTCAGTATAACCTCATGAGCGCCGGTCCCATTTCTACCACTTATTCTGATGTACTGGGCATGTCACCTCACCTCATTTTCATGTCTATCAGTTCTGCTTGAACATCAGAGGAATGCACTATCAAAATGAGGTTGGTGTTCTTAAGGCACTTAGCTAAACGCACCATTACTACTAAAACCTGGCTTTGTTCTACAACATCATTCTTAAAAGCTTAAATTTAAATATTTTTTTTAGTACAAAGAAATCAGGGAGTTCAACTGTTGATGACTACCAACCACTTTGCTCTTTAATGCTAGTGGACAGGCAGAGGTATTTAGTACATAAACTTCAGACAAAATTCTGAATTTCACTACAGTTTATTCATTCCCCTGATCCCTTAAATATGCATTTATTCAACCAGATTTTCCTTGTGCAGTAGAACTGCTTCAGCAGGTCCAGGAAATAAAATTTAAGGTTACCTCATTATTATTTTTCTGTGTAAAGATCTGCGATCTACCAACATGACTAGGACCTACCTAATCTGCAGGGGCTGCCCCCCAAACCCACCCATTTTATAGGCAGAATGTGGGCAGGAGCACCATTTCGCAGGTGACAGGCATAGGTGCCCTAGTGGCACTGCCTTTCACTGCTGATTGGCTGCAAGGGCTGTCAGTCATGCAGCCCCACCTCTCTCCACCAATTGGAAGGGGGGAGGCATATGACAGGCAGCTCTTCAAGCAGGCAACTCCTCCCTTCCCCTGAGAGCTACTGCAGTGCTCAGTAAGTCCCGCCCCTCCATGGATTTTGTGAATTCCATGGGCATTGCTGGATTTTGCAGAATCCACAAAATTGCGAATTCAGTAGGTCCCCAAACTTGACTAAAGAAAACAGGCACATATGTATACCAATCCAGGCCTGCAATTATTTTAGGCTGTGTTTTGTACATACCACAGAGGACCCAGCTCTACTGCCGTCTTCCCAGGCATACTGCCATGGCAGTCACAGGGTAGCTGCCGATAAGGGTTTTCTGAACCAGAAAGCAGAATTAAATCACTTCAATACTTCAATATTTTAGCAAAATGGATTAAAACATTATAGATACCAAAATACTATGCCCAATCAATAACAGCCCATTTTAAATATTAACAGGGCAAACATCAAACTTGAGATACTAACTCTTTCTTAACATAGTTGCAAGTGGTACTTGAAGGTACTGTACTATAAATGTAGATAAGCCAGCAGATAAAGGGAAATCTCATAAACTTATGATTGAATGTGCACATAAAATTCAGTTCAACCAGAGAATTTTCACAGTACATATGTAGTATGTACAGAGACTGTAACTGCAATTAAATGTGCACTTAAGATTTTAGATATAACACTGCATCAACATATATTTTATTTCTGTTCTTAAGGCGGAAAAACATGATATGCTTATCACCCTCCCCTGAATAACTAGCACAGTGCCTTCAGAGGAAAAGGCAGTAGCTTAACACTGAAGGCCACCAGAGGTACAGTTAGAAGTATGATAAAATTACATTATTCAGTAAAATCAATAAATTAAACAGCCATGTATAAATCTGAAGTTTCAGAACTCAACATATTAACAGCAGAATAATCTTATGTGTCATGTCTATATATTTAAAAAATAGATTAGTCTATGTTTCCAACATAGTCTTCCTGGACTTCCGGAAGGCTTTCGACACTGTCTCTCACCCCGTTCTCATTAAGAAACTGGGGGGCTGTCATGTAGACACCCACACAGTCAAATGGGTCTCCAACTGGCTGGAGGGCCGCACCCAGAGGGTGGCAGTGGATGGGTCCTTCTCAACTTGGAAGGACATGGGCAGTGGGGTTCCGCAGGGCTTGGTCCTCGGGCCCGTGCTGTTCAACATCTTCATCAGTGATTTGGACAAGGGGGTAAAAAAGCACCCCGTTCAAATTTGCTGATGACACTAAGATGTGGGGGGACGTGGGCACACTAGAAGGAAGCAACAGGCTACAATCGGACCTAGACAGGTTACAAGCGTGGGCGGATGAGAATAGGATGGGATTCAACACAGACAAGTGCAAGGTGATGCACCTGGGGAGGAACAACCGGCACCATACCTACAGGTTGGGGAACTCCCCTCTTGTCAGCACGGAGGCGGAAAAGGATCTTGAAGTCATCATCGACTCCAAGATGAACATGGGTCGGCAGTGTGGGGAGGCAGTTAGGAAGGCCAACTGTACCTTATGCATCCACAGATGCATTTCAAGCAGGTCCAAAGAGGTGATCCTCCCCCTCTATGCGGCACTGGTCAGGCCGCAGTTGGAGTGCTGCGTCCAGTTCTGGGCACCGCACTTCAAGAGGGATGTGGACAGCATGGAGAGGGTCCAGAGGAGGGCCACTCGCATGATTAGGGGACAGCAGGGCAGGCCCTATGAGGAGAGGCTACAGGACCTGAACCTGTTCAGCCTCCAAAAGAGAAGGCTGAGGGGGGATCTTGTGGCCTGTTATAAACTAGTCAGGGGGGATCAGCAGGCATTGGGGGAGTCACTGTTCCCCCGAGCACTGCCAGGACTGACCAGGAATAACGGTCACAAGCTGGCAGAGGATAAGTTTAGGTTAGACATCAGGAGGCACTATTTCATGGTCAGGGCGGCTAGGGTCTGGAACCAACTTCCAAGAGAGGTGGTGCAGGCTCCTACCCTGGGGGCTTTTAAGAGGAGGTTAGATGAACACCTTGCTGGGGTCGTTTGACCCCAGTACTCTTTCCTGCCACGGCAGGGGGTCGGACTAGATGATCTGCTCAGGTCCCTTCCGACCCTAGAAACTATGAAACATATGGAAGGTACTTTTCTTCATCAAGAACTAAATCTTTGATTTGAAGTGTGGGTGTGTGGGGTGTGAGGAGTGTGGGGACCCCCCACACACTCCCCATCCCGTGATGCACAGCTCCTGCTGGCGGTGGCAGCAGCAGCAGGAAGGGGTGCTCATGTCTGGAGTAGGTGCTGCTGTCAGTGGTGTATGGCACTGGCCAGCGCTGCATATGAGGGAGAGTACCTGCATCAGGTACAAACACCCCTGCTGCCAGTGGGGGCTGTGCACCATAGGGAGTGGGGGACAGTGTGTGTGTGGGGGGTCCCCACATCCCCCCACCTTCCCTCACACCCACACCGTGCCCACCCTTGTTCTGTGTTCCTGCCGCTCACCCGGGCGTAGGCTCCAAGTTGCTGCCAGCCATGCCCCATGCTCCCCTCCAGCTGCAGCTTTCCTACGTAGTATCCAGTATGAGTGGGATGCTGAAGAAGCTGGGCACCTATGGCAGTGGCAGCAGCATCCCTACCAAGAAGCTATCCATGCCCTTCCGTGCACAAGGGTAGGAGTGAGGTGCAACAGTGTATGTTGCGGGGAGGGGGGAGAAGTGTGTGTATGAGGGTGCCTTGCTCCCACCCTCGTGGGCAGAAGAGCTGGGCGGGGTACAATTAGTTGGTGGGCATCCATGGGCTGGATGAAATTACCTGGTGGGCCAGATCCAGCCTGAGGGCCATATTTTGCCCACTCCTGCTTTAGGCTCTGCTACCCCAGCCCCTTTCCCTTACAGCTAGATTTGACAGGACTGGGTTGTGGATTTCTTTTTAAGTAGCTGCTACTGCCAGTGTTCCTAAGGAACTGTGAATGAAAAAACCCCAACACCACACTTGAACTACCAGAGGGAAACTGATACCTCCAGTTTATCTTCCTACAAGGGAAGGCTGGTTTCTTGAAGAGATCTTTGGCTGGCTTAAGAATACCCTCATCTGTAGGCACTGCTAGTTTATATGCTATATATTAAAAACACTTCTAGTAAAGACATACATTTTTACATGGTGGATCTAAACATGCGCCTAAAGTGCTACATGATATAAACATGCAGGGATTATGCCTCTTTAAAAAAAACTCATTTACCTTCTACCATATTACCCTCTTTCTGAAAAATCCTCTCTTCACACCATTGGCAGTGGATGAGATAGCGAATTTTCTTTGCTGAATCATCTGCAGGTGATGGTCCTCTCAAAACTCTCACTACTACTAGAACAAAGTGTTCTAGGGCTACTGCAAGCAAAACTTCAATGCCTTTGTTGCATCGAGCAGCAGCTCTACAAAAACAAAAAGAAAGGACATCACTGTGGGAATTCAATGAAGACTAGCTTTACCAGATGCATCCTGCCTTCCAAAATATGTAACATTTGAGATTACCCACTGTTTGAAAAATGCTAAACTATATAGAAGCAACACACATTTTGACTTAATTTCTCAGGATCCCAGTTTTAACTCTCTCCCATCAGACTAAAAAGTTTTGTAAATATCCTCTATTATCAGGATGCTTACCATCCTACTTATGTAGAAGCACCAGCTAACTCTCAACACAAGTCTCTTTAAACAAGTGCTTCTCCACTACCACTCCACAACACTTCAAGAACAAGCAGAAAGACCAACTGAAGGAACTTCAGAGCACCAGAACATACTATTTAAGGGAATTGGAAAGAAAGTCTGGCAAGGAAACATTTAAAATAGACTCCAGTATAGCTAACTTAGATGCAGACTAATGGGGTAAAGTATTAGTTATTACCATGGGAATGGATAATCACCAAAAAAAGGGAATACTTTAAAATAGGCTGGAAGATGCAACTAGATTTGGGGTGAAAATGTAGTTTGAACAGCTCGAAAAAAGCCATTTTGATAACAGTCTCAACCTGTGTTGTGGTTTCACAGGAAGAGATTGCATAAAATCAGTGAAAAGTTAAATTGGATGTAGCACTATAGATAGAATATTCTATAACAAACTACCATAAGCAAGAAGATGGGAACCACACGAACTATGTTGCCTATAGTATCTTGAAGTCCTTCAGTTCTGATTTCTCTCCCTGCTTCTGAACTGTTATGCCATAAGATTGCCATTTTGTTTGTATGTATTCACATAGGGCCCGGTTCAGCAGCCTGCACTTCCTTGATGAAGTCAAAAGGCAACATTTACATGGAAAAGGACTATTCTCATGTACAGTTTGCTGGGTAGGCATTGCATGTAGACTTACAGCAAAAAATAATTTTTTAAAAATAAAATTTAACTTATGGAAAAATATCCAGACTCAGGGTTCTGGATTTGAGGGTGAATACATGTTTGCTAGATGTAGGACATCAACTTTTAGAGGACACCATGGCTTCATTTAAAGCAAAGCCGTTTTCACAGATAACTGTTTAGTAGCTTTGTAAGATACTGGAGGTGGTTAGGCTGCACTAAAGCAGCTGCTAAATGACAAAGGAACATAATATAAACTGCAGATAATTTAAGGCTGGATTATATCACCTTCTCTTTCTGAAGATTAAAAAAAATAATTTGTAAATGTCTTCTACCTTGTCCAATATTTTACTTTAAAACATTTGTATTGTTCTACAGCTGTGAACTTGAAATATTCAAGTACAAAACTAGTATTTCAATACCTAGTTTTAGAGCTTAAGAATTCTGAAAAGCAAAACCATGCAATTGGCATTAGCAACCACATAAAATGTCTGTATTTCCAATCTACCAAAATGTATAAGTTGATGACCATTTACTTGTTGTGACAGTACCTTGCCACAGAAGCAACTACTATTCTAGCTGCCAGCTCCTTGTAGTACTCTGTTCTGACAATGTTGCAGCCATAATGACGCAGGGCAACATGCTGAGCCTTCGCATATAGAGAACTAATATCTGTGGAAGTCACCGATACTATTCCCAGATTTCTTACATTTCTGAAGGCAGAATCCAGGTAATTCACAGATGTTCCAAATGGGTCCAAATGTCTGAAAAATAAAGATACATTAGAATCTATACACATACAGCTATTTATTTTTAATCTTGGAGTGGGAGAAATGTAAAAACCCTCATATATATACCAACATATGTAGAAAAATAAAGACAGACTTATTTCGTTGCATGCCTTTTATACTTTTCGTACTCCATAATCATTTACACACCACTAAGTAACATGGAGTCAAGACACATGTTAGGTAATACAATAGGCATCACATGTCTATCAAGCTTTTACATCCTAGTACATTAGCTTACTGAACTTAAAAAAGAATATTGGCCAAAATATATATATTTATCCTGTCATCTTTCAAAATGTAAAACAAGGACTCAGATTGGAAATATTGGGTACATACACTTGCAAATGTCATCAGTTAGAAACAAGTAACCTGATCTTCACAGATTTTGAATGGCTGTAAGTCCCAATGCATTGCACTATGCTTCTAAAAAAAAATAAAAATCAAACCACTCATTTGATGGTTATATAAGAATCGAGTGCCAACATTTGGGGCACCCAAGTTAAATATTTTTGCCTTGTATTACAATTAAAACCATTAAAAGTAACTTTTTAATTTAAGAACAGATTGAAATCAGTGGTCCACTATAATTTTATGAAACTTTGAGCAAAATCCCTGTTTGGTTTAATGAGATGAATTTCAAATTAGCTAAGATTATATGAAAGAGTCTAAGCCTCACATTTCTCCCCACGAAGGCAAACAATTTTAACCAAGCAGGGATTTTGCTTAAAGTTTCAGACATATGTTTAGCTGCATCAGGGTGTTAAACATATGGCTCACAGGTTGGATCTAACTTGAGGAGCCATATGATCTGGGCCATGGGTTGCTGGAACAACCCCATCTGCCAGCCCCAGCTCTGTCCTCATGCACTGCATATGGCATGCGGGCTGGACCTGGCACCATATGCCCTGCCCACAACACAGGGGGCATGCAGTGCCCTGGTCCAAGCCCCCTGTACTGCCTGCAGCAGTGGGTCGAATACCACATGCACAACAAGCCCCATAGCACGTACTACACAGGGGGGTCAAGTCCTGGTCTAGCCCACAGACCAGCCCAACAACACTCATCTGGCCTGTGGGGATGTATAAGTGTCCAACCTCTGAGCTTTACCTTATGTTTCACTCTGAAAGTAAGAAAGTCTTAATATTTTTACAATGATTATTTTTAAAAAGAGTTAAATTAAGGCTGTACTTTCACAGTATTTCAGGAACTATGGGATTACTTCTAAAAACAAAACAAGTAACTGTCCATGATCTCAACTGTTCAATCTTCTTCAAATAAACACAAACATAAATTATATATTCAAGATCAAAGCATATCCCAGATAAAACTGTGTTAATAAGCAATTTATACTTACATAAAATCAAAGGATCGTAAATGCATTATGATATTGGCATCCATTTTTGTCACCTCAATAGTGCCTATATTTTCTTCTCCCTCTTCCATAGTTTCATCACAGTCATCCTCTTCCTTAGGGTTCATCACTACTTTCATCTTGTTTAAATGGCAGTTTTCCTGAATCATTGTCACAGAATTTTCATTACAGTCATTAATTGTAACCTTCACAGAATTTCCAAGGTGTTTTGCCCACTGCAGTCCCATTATACCTGTGGGAAGAGACAAATGCATAGTTTTCAGGCTGACTGTGGAAACAGAAAAAGGCATTAGCACTTGATGTCATTAAAAAAAAAAAAAAAAAAAAAAAAAAAAACCAAAAA